ATCTTTCTGTAATGAAACCCATATGTCATGGGCGAAAGGTGCAAAGCCCTGGCAGAGAGGGCTGGTCTCATGAGAGGTTCTGCACCCAATCTCGTTAACCAGGGTGCCTCTGGTAATCCCTCATCCCCTCACTGGTGAGAAATCAATCTGTGCCACTGATTCTTTTTCAACCAGCCACCAGAAAATTTACTGCGGAGAAGGCAGTTTGGGGATAGTCATTGTGGAAAGGGAGCGGAGCCAGAGGCAAGGCTAAATGTAGGATGGAGGAATTGGAGAGTCTAAAGAAGACATTATATTAAACCACACACCATCTTCACAGCAAGCAGGATGCAGTCCTCCCTTCAGCCCTGACCTCTGAGTATCGCCAGGTATTTACAGCTGCCATGAACCTGACAGTCCTAAGGAAACTACGAAGGGGATAATGGAAACAGCATAAACCTGGAAGTTGATTGTAGTGTATCCATTTGCTGCCTTTAAATGTGTATAAGTGGTCCCCTCTCCCACACTCTCTGCAGCAATTCACATGTTCCCCCTATGGTGACAGTCTCTATTGTGGCTTTCTCAGTTTATGGTCTTGCACTGCATAGGAGGGCCCGTAAATCATGACCACCTGGAGGTCATGCTTCTCTTCTGCACAGCACACACTGTGGTGGCTGGTGACCAGTGGATCCCTCTTGGCACAGTTATTAGAATGTGGTGGTGTGTTGCCTTCCTCTTGAACCTGTAATCCTAGAGAATTAACCCAGAATTAGAAAATAGTTAAGTAATTTTACTGAGTCTAGATAAAACTCTCTCTAGCAATTTTATCGTCTCTAGGATTGTCTTCTAGCACATTGTAGGGGGAAAGGACCAGGAGAGAAGGGAGGAGCTGGAAGTGCCAGACTGCGGAGCGTGTAACCTTACCCTGGCCTTTACTTGGAGAATTATACCAAGCTGTAACTACTGGGAAGAAGAAGGGATGGAACTAGTCAGGGGAAATAGAAACAACTCCCTCTCCTCTGTAAGCAAACCATAGACATCTCTAAGGGTTTTTCCCCAAAGAGATTTGAAATCCTAGGTGGGAATTTTTTAGTAAAGTGCGTTTACATATAAAACCCTACTAGAAGGTAGGTGTGTGTGTGTGTGTGTGTGTGTGTGTGTAGAAGAAGAAGAATACAGAATAGTAGCAGAAGGCTGTCTCCCTACTCCTAATGGGATTTTGCAGCAGCATGTGCGAGTTTGTTTCAGAAGTCAAAAATGAACAGATGTTGGTATAAATTACCTCTGTGTCTGATGTCTTGCAAATTAAAAGCGCGGTTGGCATCACTAAACAATTTCACTAGGTTTGGGGGTGCGGTTAGCAGGCAGTGATTACTGTAGCAGGTCGGTGAGAATCTTCACACTGCAGCAGAGCAGGAGAGCAAGGATAAAGAAATGAGGAATAAAATAAGGGGTATGAGAATTAATCAGAGATGTTAACATCTCTGATGACAAGTGAACAGGAGGGCACGTGCTCTGGAGCAGCCCCTGACCCACAGCAATTTTTCTGTGCACAGAAAGGGGCTGGTGCTTAGGAGGTGATTTATAGGGCACAGCCCTCTTTTAGGGAGCAGCTATGTCACAAATTCGTATATCTCCTATATAGGACTGGCGAGTAGAAAAACTTTCTCCCCTCCCATGTGGAAGATGATGTCTTTTGAATTACTTCTACTTTTACGGTGGTTTCCTACTGCTCTGTGTACTTAGATTAGGTTGAAGGGGCAGGAATGATTGAGTGGAAAAGGGGTTGTTAAAAAGGATTGGTTAAATTCAAGGAGAGCTTGCCACTGAGTGACTTTGGAATATCCATTTATTTTTTTCTTCTAAATCCTTTTGATCCCTTGAATAGATTGGGTCTTTAAAATTTTTTTTAATCTTAAAATCTTGATCATTCTTTCATTTGGGGGAAAAAATAATAAAGACTTGGGGAATCTAAAGGGCAGCAGACAGAAATAATTAATGAGATCCGTAGATTGCTCCTGGCCCAGGATTTTTGGAGCGATGCTCTTTTCTACCCAGCAGAGTTTTGTGTTACCCATGTCTAGTTTCCAGAGCACCTGCTTCTAGCCAGGTTACAGGATCATTTGATGCTATTCTTAAGGTTCTTAGTAAGCACTGGAGAGTAGGCAGAAAACCTATCTAGCAGAAATAAGTGATGAGACTCATTCAGGTCAAAAGTGTAAGTCAATATCTATAGGATCGGGCTGAGGGAAAAGATCCCAAGGAATGGAATTTTTGAGATTCCTAGCCTCCCTTGTCGCAGCCAGTCCTGTATTCGTGCGGGGAATAATGCGTGCAAGGGAAGCAGCAGGCTGCTTCCCCTCCTCTGAGAGGGGCTGTATTAGCCAAGCATGTTCACTGATGAATATCCAAGAGGGCAGGGCAGGGGACATTAATATGCTAGTCATTTTACAGATGAGGAAACTGAGTCTCATACCCAGCTCATCCAGATGCTAAATGCTAGAGCTGAAACGTAAACTGAGTTCAAACCCTGTGTTCTCTGAAAGAAGTCATGCTGCCTCCCATTGGCAAGAAAAACATTTTTAAAATTTATTTTTCAATTACAGTTGACATTCAATATTATTCTGTATTTGTTTCAGATGTATAGCACAATGGTTAGAAAATTATGTACTTACAGAGTGGTCTCATTTCCCCTCCCCCCACACTTCAAGTACCCACCTGGCCCCATACCTATTATTTGGATTTTCTCTAGGATAGTTAGTCCTTGTCCATCTGTTCTTACCCCCACCCTCACCCCAATCTTTCTATGAATCTGGCATTGTTTTTATCAAGAGAAATTATTTTTCTTGTTAAACAAGCAAGGTATATTTAAAAAGAACCCCGCAAAAGAGAGAATGAAGCACCAAGGGCCACTAACAAGTCCTATTGTTTGTCTGTGGAAGGAAAGAAACTGACTTTGTTGTACTCTTACTTGGTTCTAGATCTTTTGTATAACATCATTCATTCAGCCAAGATTTATTCAGCAGATGCTAGGTCTAGCACTGTGCTAGGTGCTAGTGATATAAAAAATAATAAAACAGCTCTGCCGGAGTGGCTCAGTGATTGAGCATTTACCCATGTGCCAAGAGGTCACAGTTCGGTTCCTGGTCAGGGCACCTGCCCATCTTGTGGGCCAAACCCCCATTGGTGGGCATACAGGAGGCGGCCAGTTGATGTTCTCTCTCATCAATGTTTCTCTCTCTCTCTCCCTCTCCCTTCCTCTCTCTCTAAAATCAGTAAAGAAAAAAAACATTAAAATGTATTAAAAAGAGCCCTGGCCGATTTGGCTCAGCGGTTAGAGTGTCGGCCTGTGGTTCAGAGAGAGCAGGCTTCGGTTCCCGCTAAGGGGCGTACCTCAGTTGCAGTTTGTCCCCGGCCCTGGTTGGGTCGTACGGGTGGCAGCCACTCGATGTGTCCCTTTCACGTCGATGTTTCTCTCTCTCCCTCCCACTCTATCTGAACAAAAAATGGAAAAATGTCCTTGGGTGAGGATAAAAAAAAAAAAAAGAAAGAAATTTATTTTTAAAAATGTATTAAAAAGAATAATAAAAGTCTCTGCCCTCTGTTTTTACACTTCATCAGAAGAAAACAAGTATATAAACAAGTAATTGCAAATCTGATAGGAACGTTGTATGTCTAGGGATTGGTAGAAATCCACAAGGAAGGGACAGTCAGTTTGATTTGGGACAGGTGGAAGTTGTGGGCACATGAGGCCAGGCCCAGTGCTGAGACTTCCATGCCTAGCTAGTGGGATTTCTCTCTGTTGGAGCTCAGGAGCTTGTGGGAGATGGAGGATGTATATAGACTGCAGTTACCAAGAGCCTTCTTGTGGTTACAGAGTTTGTATTTTATTTCTTCCTCATACAAATTAACCAGGAACTGTTATATTTAGGTGGGGGCATGGAGAGTGGGAGCCCATTCGTCTGGTACCATTTGCTCTGGACTTGGGAAAGGCAGCAAGGAGGTCAGGGCAAAGGTCGTTCTCATCCCTGCAGGAGCCTCCCTAGCCACCTCATTTCTTTGGCCAAGATAGAGACATAATTCTTGGGAGGCCACAGGGCACAGCCTGCCGTGTGTTCACTGCGTGGCTCCAGAAGACTTCCGGCCTCCAGGGCAAGCCATCGGAAACTTTCAGCACTCTTGAATCCATTTAAGAGATCTGAAAAGAGTCTTGTAGGGATGAGGATGAAGAGGGTTATAGGCTACATTCGATTTTTGAGGATTTGCTTGACAGAATGAAAACGGGGGGCTTCTGGAGTGACCCTTGTAATTGAGAAATGTTTTACTTTCATTTTGGAGCCTCATATGTAGGAAAGTAGCTGTATAAACCGTCTTGTAACTACAGCATTCAAAGATTGATGGTGCTGAAAGTCAGAGAAAGACACATAAACCTTGCCTGGCTATATTAAATATCTAAGGACTGACAATGCCAAGAGAGAGGAGACCAAAGCTCTATAAACCCTACTTTATTACTCTATCCACAGATGAACTGCACCGAGGGAATATAAACCCTGTTATACTACAGTATTCGGGGACTGCCACCGAGGGATGGGGTGAAATGATCTCTGATTTTGATTTGAGATTATAAATGTCCAGAGACTAACAACCCAGAGAAGACTGTAATTTGGTTGGATTTTAGCCTCTAAGAGCAAACCCCTTGAGATAGTGAACATGAGTATTAGGTTACATTCTTGGGAGGGAGATAGGTTTTGAGGGAATTCCCTGGTGATTTTTTTAAGGGTAGATGATGTCTTCTCCAGTTGGCCTGTGCCTTGTAGCAATTACCAACTTCAGAACAACTTTGTACAGTTTTAGTTGTCAGTAGAGGTTTGTTTCCCCCGTTTTTGGAGGCTTTGTGGTGATTGAATCCGTTAGGGTCCCCTGTATACAACTGAACTAATTTGCATTTTTAAAATCTTCCTATGATTTTTTTTTTCAGATTTTAGGTCTTCATTAATCTTTCATTTGCTTTGTGATTTCAGCCAGAGAAATGACACGGGGGAAATTCCTCAACATTCTAGAGAAACCCAAGAAGTAGCAGCAGCGTGTGGACAGGATGTCCCAGGAGCTGGAACCACGCTCCACTCCCAGTGCAGCTCTGATGATGCGACCTCACTGCTTCCTGGCGAGAGGCTGGAGGGGGCACCTCCAGGGCTGACCCTCTCCCCCACTCCTGGGACTCTGCGCCTCTGAGGACTTTGGGCAGCAAGAGAAGACTCTGTTCTACCCAAGGATCAATGCAGTTATTCACTTAGCTTCCAGACTTTGACCGTCTCCATCTCAGATGTTGGTAACACCAGAGGGCACATCATTCTTAAAGGTCAAAGTCCTGCTTTCTCGTTTCCAGAAGTGATTCAGGAGCCTCAGGATCTTACAGTTGACTTGATTCAGTGATGGCAGAGTCCGTTGTGACAGCGATTGCATGGGTTATTTTGAGTTGTACTTGATCTTTTAGGAAGTATTGATGATGCGAGGAGCCCAGAGACCAATTAGATTCTGGACCAGACCATGCAGGTTGACCTGTAAGCTCTCCAGTGTATACTAGGTTCCAAGAATCCCCGGCTGGAGTAACCAGAATCTTCTACAAATGTATGCCTGCCTTTAAAATTCTATACCTCTCATGAAAGGCCCATACCCTAACGCCTTCCATTCCCCACCTCCCAACCCCACCATTCGTTCTGACTCCAGGGAAGGGGATCCCTGTGTATCAGGCCCCCTGGGATTAGCTTGTGTAGTGAAAGGCCCGTACGAGGTTGCAGTAGACCTCAAGACCAATTTGAAGGTGACAGAAAGGACTTTTGAGTTCTAGTTAATCTGTTACAGATTCAAGCGAGACAGTTAGTATGGCCTGAAGGTGGGGAAAGGGGATGTTTGCAGGAGTTCCCACTTGATTAAAAACGAGAAACTCTGATTGGCCTTAAAGGAATGTGCGTGCTGTGGAATGGGGCCGTGTCTGTCCCCCCGCGGCCCTCTCACGGCGCATCGCAGATGTTTCACCCATCTGACAGAAGCACATATGAAAGAACGAATTTCCTCACTTATATATAACTTACAGAGCTCTTTGCCAGTTATCTGTCTCTATGTTCAAACCTGAAAATCTAGCCGGTGGGTAATAGTGATTACACATGTTCTCCATATTTGGTCTTATAAACTAGCCCCCAGCCTCTAATGTTTTTAAAAATACATGGAGTTTCCTAAACTTGATGAAAAGAACATCCATGTGGCAGTCTGATGGTGTTTGGACACAAGGAAAGTCGCGGTGAGGTTTGTGGCCCTGCGTGTCTATGCCAGGGCGCATTACTGTTCAGTTCAGTGACTGGTCCATTTCCTGACAGGTGTGCCTTGTTTCCCAGCTAGAGTTAATGTTGGAGTTTTCTCTCATCTGTGCCATTTGCGATTGTACTTATTGACAAGAAGGAGAAAATTGAACACAAGACGCAAAGGACGAGTATGAAACGGAAAACATTCTGGTTGGATGCTACAGAGAAGGTTAGGCTGTAGAGGCTTTGCCTGTAAGTTAAGTTTATTGTTGACATTCCTGTATCTTAAATGTGGTTGAAGAGAGTGTGTATGCACAAAAAGTAGCGCCGCAGCATCAGGTTCGTCCTTTGCTCTGTTTTTGAGAGTTGATGACGTCAAAAGGGGAAACAGAAATATGTGGAGTATGTTGGGATACCTCCCCAAAACCAACTCGTCTGTAAGCTGCGGCTATGAGGTTGGTGTTTGGTCTGCTTTGGCCTCTCTTTTACTGTCGTCTTAGTCACCAGCACTTAATGTAAGTCGATATTTTAGAATTGTGATATTTATTGGTTTTATATGTATCGTCCTCAGAAATGTTAATGACGTGTTTTTATATGCTAATATAAATGTATGTACAATGTGTGCATGTATGTATTTCATGGTGTTGGAGGATTGTACTATGTATTTAATGTTTTCTGTGTCGTCATAATAAATGTGTTTCTTTTATAGGAGAGTGAATATTTCCTCAAAGGGGCAAGTTGCATACTTAAAGCATAGATCTCATCAGAAAGTGCAATTATAATGACAAATAATCCACTATCTTCCCCTTTGTGTGACCATGGGTAGTGTGGGGCTTTATGGTCATACTAAGTGGTCTCCCAGCATCCAGTCTATCCTACCTGCCGTCTAGTTCATTACTACTCAACTCCCTAGAGTAGTATTTAAAAACCTTTAATACCTCCCCATGTCTGGATCTCTCATCCTGGCACCTTAAACTCTCTGCATATAACCCTAATTAACCCCCCATTTTGGTTTCCTTCCTCTCCAACATAGGAAGTCTCTGTTCCAGTGAACCTGAGCAATCAATCCCCAGTTCCTCCCTTGAGCGCCTTTGCCCATGCCGTGGAGTTCCTAGAAAGGCTCACATCCTTTGTGCACATATCAAACCTGTCCTTCCTCTAATCCCCTGATGGTCGGCTGGAAATAATCCTGCCCCCTGCACCCCTACAACCTTCATGTATACCAGCCTCGTGACTGACCACACTCTCCGAGTCCGCCTCTCATTGCCCTACTGAATTATAAGCTCCTCGGGGTTTTAGCTGTCTCTTACACATCTGGTTCTTCTTCAATGTCTTTTTTGAACTATCTATTTGCAGACTTCCACTTAAATATTATGGGTTGATAGCAAATATTTCTCTGCCACCTACTAAAATCCTTAGTATGAGTTCCTTTTCAGCTCTGTTCAAGAACTAGAGAAGAAGAAGTATTAATCAGTACTACTATCGTCACCCGTTGATAAAACTATCAATGCCCTTTTATTTATTTATTTTTATTCCTCACCTGAGGACATTTTTCCATTTATCATCAGACAGAGTGAGAGGGAGGGAGAGAGAGACAGAGAGAAACATTGATGCGATAGAGCCACTTCAACTGGTTGCCTCCCGCACGACCTGACCAGGGCCGGAGATGAGCCTCAACCAACTACATGCCCTTGACCGGAATCAAATCTGTGACTCGTTGGTCCACGGGCCGACGCTCTAACCACTGAAAAAACCTGCCAAACCTATCAATGCTCTCTTAGAGAAAACATTCCATTTTAAGGAAAGCAAATTGCTAAGCATCCTGATTTTCAAGAAAATCTGGGTGGACCATAGGTTTCTGTGATCCAGGAAAGCATGGCTGGCTGGCTGACTTTCTAAAAAGTGACAGCATGTGAATGTCCTGTCCTAAATCTAATAACTAACTATGATTTGCCCACAGGTTTGTTTTCCCTTTCCCTTTGCCATTTTGAATACCATCCTAATAGCACATCAGTTGGCTGTGAGCAGTACTGGCTGAATCAGAGCATTGGTGCCTGGAGGCACATTTTAAAATTCTTTTTATTTTATTTTATTTTTTTATCATCCTCACCCAAGGACATTTTTCCATTTTTTGTGCAGGTAGAGTGTGAGGGAGAGAGAGGAACAGAGAGAGAGAGAAACATCGATGTGAAAGGGACATATCGAGTGGTTGCCACCCGCACAACCAACCAGGGCCGAGGACAAACTGCAACCGAAGTACGTGCCCTTAGCGGGAACCGAACCCGGGTCTCTCCGGACCACAGGCCGATGCTCTAACCGCTGAGCCAAACTGGCCAGGGAACATTTTAAAATTCTTAAATCTGCCCAGCCGGTGTGGCTCAGTGGTTGAGCGTGGACCCTGCACCAAGAGGTCACCGGTTCGATTCCCAGTCAGAGCCATGCCCAGGCTGTGGGCCGGATCCCCAGTGGGGGGCATGCAGGAGGCGGCCAGTCGATGTTCTCTCTCGTAGATGTTTCTATCTCTCCCTCTCCCTTCCTCTCTCTCTGAAAGTCAATAAAAAAAAAAAAGAAAGAAAGAAAAAAAATTGTTTTTAATTCTTAAATCTTTCCTCACTGGCAGTCTCAGTGCTTCTTGTGCACTTCAGTCTCTCGATTTTAGGCCTCTGTTGATTTGCTTGACTTTCCTTCCACTGTTTTAGCACTGAACGTTCACAGGCTATCAGTTGCATTGATATCACAATCCCATCATTCATTTTTCCTTGCCTTTTGTTACCTATATTTTTGAACTGGATACCTGCCAACTGCCCCTTGGTGTGAGTGCTCTAGCTGCAGCCTTTGTAGCTCCTCTGCCTTCCAGAAGCAGGCTCCCAGCTCCAGTGACTTCTCCATTGCCGGTGTGGCTTCCAGGGGGCGTTGAGGCTTCCAGAGGAGCTTTGTAATAAAGGCAGGCTCATGTCCGATGGGGTGCTGTGGTCCCTTTTCCTCCTCTAGGATTGAAGCATCACAGGAGAGTCAACTGGCAGAGCAGGAAGGGGAGAAATTGGCAGAGGGGCCGAGGTGGATGGTCCCAGGGGTCCGATAACATGGTTTCTTACCAGCTCTCAATTTCTGCACAGACCCCATCTCCAAGCATTTGGTTACATTCTCCAGGTCTGTTTTCTTCGTTCTGAGAGCTGCAGGACCGCCTGACCCCCGCAGAGGCTTCATTTCCCAGAGGAACCCCTGCCTTCAGAGAGCAGGCAAACAGTAGTCTTCCCAATTTGTAAGTTCTGACTGGCCTATCACTGACTTTTCCTGCCTATTTAGACATTGGGGCATTTGGGGATGCATCCCCGATTGTGCCTAGAGAGGCCACTGGCCTTCCCACCCTCTGCCCAACACTTTTTCTTCATGAGCAGGGGTGGTTGGGGCTTCAGGTGGCACCAGGTGCAACCGCAAGGCTCCTGGTTGGAGGGCTGGCCGAGCCTGTTAATTAGCACATGAACACCCCAATGCTCCATTAGCCCGACCAGGCATTCGGAACCTTCCCCTCCTGTGGGCCCCGTCCTCCTAATGAGAGCTGGAAGAAGGGCCCTCACAAAACACTGCCCCAGAATAATATTCAGCTTTGTCCCCACCAGTAACCAGGGCTGACAGGATCACTCTGTCCATTTCTGTTCTAATTAGCACAATTCCAGCGCGGCCTGAGCCAGCAAATGGGGAAAAGCGATCAAAAGCGATCGGACAACCGTACCGAATCACAAACACAAAGAGGGCATTCCCTGTAATTAGGTGAGACAATTCCTCAGTCTTTTCTCGGCTGGAGTTTGCCGCTAAGGCTCTTGCTGTTTGGGTCCCAGCAACACAAGTTACATGTCTCCCTGGGACACTAATAAGCCTCAAATTGTCTTCCGCTTCACACAACTCTAACCAGAGGACAGATGCGGGAGGGGGGCGGGGCGGGAGCTAAGGGACAGGGTCTCGAAACAAGCAGCTGCTGCGATGTTTCTTCAACTGAGAAGCAGGCACTGGGGCTGTGGGCAGTTGGCTTGAGAGAAGTGTTTGGGCACAGCCTGGCCCCATCGTCTTAGCTGGGGTTTGGAGCACTGAGAAGCCCTGACCCTCGGGGGAAGCCCACCCTGCTATTTGCCTCGCCCTGTTCATTCACCACCTTCTGCCTGTTGTCTCCTTTTGGTCTTCTCATCCTGTCTCCCACCTGACAATGCTGGCACGTAGGACAGCTGTCACGGGCGCCATCCCGGAGCTACGCTGAAACCCTATCAACTAGTTACGATCGCAAGGATAGCACATAGGTGAATTCAAAGAACTCATAACTGGAAGGTGCCCTCACTTCCAGCACCCATCATCTCTGTCCCTGGCTCTTCCACAGCCCTTGCCTGCGGTCCCTGTTCTCTCTCCTGGAAGACCCCTATTTTTTCAAACAGAAAAGTGGCCCATCAGCTTGCCAGGGCAAGAAGCCACACTGGCTACACTCCATGTGACTCGGAGGTTGGCCATTAATAAACAGAAACAGCCCCCCCCCCAGGATCGCAGCCCATTTACAGGGATTACTGGGAGTAACAGAGCCCTGAACTTGGTCATAGCCGGAGACGAAGGAATGCAGGGGAAAGTGGCACTTGGAATCTCAATTAAACTCAAGTTCTGAGTTGAGTTGGACTCACACATATTTTCATCTTTATCCTGGCCTCTGCTTTCTGTTTTGAGCTATACTTGATGCTTCCGAAAGTTGCCTCTACCAGCAGAAAATACTCAATCATCTAGAATCCAAGGAGCTAGAAAACTCGAGTAATCAGAGTTGCTTTGTTGTTTTTCGATCTTCCTGAGATGTATCTGAGACACAGAGGTAATGATAAGATTTGACTTTTTAGATAACTCTTGGGAGGTATCAAAGAATTGATCCAAATTTGTTCAGCCTCCTACAGTTCCTTTGGCTATAAACAGAACTTAGAACAGTACCAGGCAATAATAGGTTATTAATAAGAATTGGCTGATGCCCTGGCCAGTTTGGCTCAGCGGTTAGAACATTGAACCACGGTCCAGAGAGACGCGGGTTTGGTTCCCGCTAAGGGCATGCACCTCGGTTGCAGTTTGTCCCCGGCCCCAGTTGGGGTTGTGTGGGTGGCAGCCAGTCGATGTGTCTCTCTCTCTCTCATGGATGTTTCTCTCTCTCTCTTCCTCCCTTTCTCCCTCCTGCTCTATCTAAAGATTAAAAAAAGCAAAAATGTCCTCGGGTGAGGATAAAAAAAAGGCAGCGCATCATGGATAAGGGCGTAGACCCTGGTGTCAGGCTGCCTGGGTCCTGTTTCTGCCATTTAGTAGCTATGTGACTTTGGATACATTGTTAGCTTCTCTGTGTCTTAGTTTTCCCATCTACGGAGTGGTTCCAATAATAGCACCTGACTCCTAATGTAGCTGTGGAGGTTAAAGTAGTACTTGCAAGTGTTTAGAACAGTGTGTGGCATATCGTACCCATTATATGACAGCTTCACGGATATATCTTTAAAATTGGGTTCAATGTAGTATTTAATTTTTTATCATACTCAACATTTGTTACAAATTGATCATCCTTACAGGGAATATATGATAACATTTGGTTATCTTCACTAGTCAGTTAAGCGGAGCACACGTTTCTCTAACTCTCAGGAGAGCTGACAGTTGACTAAATAGC